GACGCCGTCCCTGGCGCGTGTGTCTCTCAGTATCTCAGTGACGCCGTACCCGGCGCGTGTGTCACTCAGTACCTCAGTGACACTGAACCTGGGGTGCGTCACTCAGTGAGACTGTCCCCAGTGCACGTGTGTCTCTCAGTGAGACTGTCACACTGAACCTGGTGTGTATGTGTGTGTGCGAGCGTGTGTGTGTGTGTGTGTCTCTCAACATCTCAATGACAAGTGGTGTTCTACAAGGGTCAGTGCTGGGACCACAATTTTCACTTTATACATTAATGATCTAGATGAAGGAACTGAGGGCATTCTGGCTAAGTTTGCAGATGATACAAAGATAGGTAGAGGGACAGGTAGTTTTGAGGATGCAGGGAGGCTGCAGAGGGATTTGAACAGGTTAGGAGAGTGGCCAAAGAAGTTTCTGATGGAGTCCAACGTGGGAAAGTGAGAGGTTGTGCACTTTGGTAAGAAGAATAGAGATATGGACTATTTTCTAAATGGGGGGAATATTCAGAAGTCTGAAGTGCAAAGAGACTTGGGAGTTCTAGTCCAGGATTCTCTCAGGATAAAGTTGCAGGTTGAGTCAGTAGTTAGGAAGGCAAATGCAATGTTGGCATTTATTTTGAGAGGACTTGAATGTAAAAGCAGGGATGTATTACTGAGGCTTTATAAGGCTCTGGTCAGGCCAATTGGGAGTATTGTGCACAGTTTTGGGCCCCATATCTCAGGAAAGATGTACTGGCCCTGGAGCAGGTTCAGAGGATGTTCACGAGAATGGCCCCAGGAATGAAAAGCTTATCATATGAGGAACGTTTGAGGACTCTCAGTCTATACTTAATGGAGTTTAGAAGGATGAGGGGAGATCTAATTGAAACTTACAGAATACTGAATGACCTGGACAGAGTGGATGTTGGGAAGATGTTTCCATTGGTAGGAGAGACTTGGACTCGAGGGCACAGCCTTAGAGTAAAGGGAAGACCTTTTAGAACAGAGATAAAGAGAAACTTCTATAGCCAAAGAGTGGTGAATCTATGGAATTCACTGCTACAGAAGGCTGTGGAGGCCAGGTCATTGAGTACATCTAAGACGGAGATAGATAGGTTCTTGATTGTCAAGGGTATTAACGGATACAGGGAGAATGGGGTTGAGAAACTTATCAGCCATGATTGAATTTTGGAGCAGGCTGTATGGGCTGAATGGCCTAACTTCTGCTCCTATGTATTATGGTCTTATGAACCTCGTGTGTGTGCCTCTCAGTGACACTGAACCTCGTGTGTGAGCCTCTCAGTATCTCTGTGACACTGAACCTCGTGTGTCTGTGTCCCTCTCTGTGACACTGAACCTCGTGTGTCTGTGTCCCTCTCTGTGACACTGAACCTCGTGTGTCTGTGCCTCTCAGTGTCTCTGTGACACTGAACCTCGTGTGTCTGTGTCTCTCAGTGTCTCTGTGACACTGAACCTCGTGTGTCTGTGTCTCTCAGTGTCTCTGTAACACTGAACCTCGTGTGTCTGTGTCTCCCAATAGTTTGTTCAGATAAACCGTATGATTGCAAATAAAAGCTGAAGCCATTGTGCTTGTCCTTTCCATAATCTCTTGTTCCCCGACACCCTTTCCATTCTCAGCAACTGCCCGAAGCTGAGCCAGACCGTACTCTGCATGTTGTTCTTGATTTCAAGGTACCCCACTTCTATATCCATAACATAATCTAGTTGGACCCATCTGCTGCCAAAGGCCTTATTCCTGCCTTTATTACCTCCAATTGGTTAGACCCGTGTTTTCCAGGCCAGATCCCCAGCTTCCAATCTACATCAACTTGCATACATCCAAAACTGTAATGGCAGTATCCTAACTCTCAGCAAGTGTTTTTAACTATCAACTTGCACACTTCATTGTGTCTGAGCTGACAACACCTCTAATTTAAAATCCTTCACCCTATTTCTCTGAGATCACTCCCTTTCCTTTCCAGTAATTTCCTGCAGCCCTATAGGAGTTCAAGGTCTCTAAGCTCCTCTAACTCTCTCGTCTTTTGCAGTTCCCAATTTTAGTTGCTCACATTGGTGGCTGTGCCTTCAGCTTACTCTGGAATACCCTCCCTCCACTTCTCTCTATATCTAACCTCCTATCCCCTTAAAACTTACCTCTTTTGCCAAGCTCTTGGTCACTTGCAACAAAAACAGAAGTTGCTGGAAAAGCTCAGCAGATCTGGCAGCATCTGTGAAGAGAAATCAGAGTTAATGTTTCAGGTCCAATACTTCCTCAGAACTTGGGTCAGCTGTCCTGATATCTCTTTTTGCGACTGTTTTATTTGATAATGTTCTCGTGAATTATCTTGGGTATCCTATTACATTAAAGGCAGTATGAAAATGCAAGTTGTTGTTGTGTTGCCACGTGCTTCTGGTTTTGGTTTGGTGACAGACAGTTGTCTGTTTGCTAGCTGACCAGTCCAAACATGTTTGTTTTAAGTAGAATAAGCTGAACCAGAGTCCATGTGGTTCTCTGCCATGAAGACAGTAAAGAGGGACATGATTGCCTCCATTGAGAAGAGGATGACCTGTGACAAACAGAACTTTTTAACGTTGCAGTTATAGGCAGCTGGAAAGTCCCTCAGTGATCTATAAAAGCAAGGCAAATTAGCAAAAAAAAAAGCACGCTTTAAACTAATTAAGAAAACCTTTCTGTAGTAAGTGTTAAATGTTATTTATTTTTCAAATGAACCATTCTTAGATGAGTGATGCTGTCTAGGCCAGCACTAGTTGGCCGTTGAAGCTTGTCCCCTTGAATCGCTACTAAAAATCACCTGGAGAAGCTGTCTGCTAACAGGAGCCAAGGGGTCTGCATCATGTAACAAGAAAGTTGGCCTGATCCCCAGAATTGGTTGGTTCATCCAGGTTTCCTGCTCATGATTGCTGCTGGTGACTGCACACTCCTGGCCATTCGGCTCAGAGGGAAAATAGCTGCAGGGCCAGCTTTACCCCTGCCTGTGGTGGAACAGACTGCTGACACTTTGCTACACGGGCTGACCCCTGATAATTGGCAACTCGGAGGAGAGGAACTGTAAGTGAGAGTCAGCCAGAGAAATGGGAAGCTTGCAGAATAGTAGATCACGTATATAATGGAGGAGCTGGTAAGTCAGGATGCTGGTGATATGGTGAATTGTCTGATTGTCTGCTTTCTCCGCAGCTGCATTGAAACTTCACGTGTCGGTAGCAGTGTTATCTGGGGTTGACGGCAACATTCTGTGGACATCCCTGGCCCCAGAGCAACTGAAGTTTATCCAGTGCGGCATCGGCTATCTAGGAGGGCCAGGTTCCGTCTGCCTGCTGATTGGAATTAGTCACATATTGAAGGCTGTTAACAGCAGCTCAGGTACAGCATTCCCTAACAGTAACATCCTGGAGACCTGTTCTCAGACCCATGTGACATATCAGAATCTTCACAAGTTTCCTTTTTATTGAAGGTGGCTATGCAACTAACCAGCTCTTAGTCCCATGGAATGTCAGGAGATTTGTCACTACAGTTTTACATAACCCTACAACAGGACTCTATGTTAAAGAGCCAGAAACAGAAATTGCTGGAAAAGCTCAGAGGTCTAACAGCATCTGTGGAGAGGTCTCCACAGGTGCTGCCAGACCTGCTGAGCTTGTTTCTATTTTACAGCATCTGCAGTTCTTTTGGTCTCCGTGTTGGAGAGTGCACTCCACACACATACAAATTAAGAGAAAGAATATGCCTGGTCTCTTGTTTGATCGCATCATGGCTGATCTGAGTGTAGCCTCAAATCTACTTTGCTGAATTTCCACACTAGCCTTTGACAGTCAATAATCTATTTAACTCTGCATTAAAAATACTCAACGATCCTGCCTCCATCACACTCTTAGGAAGAGAATTCCAGAGGACTAATAAACTTTTTTCACTCAGCTCTGTCTTAAACCCCTTATTTTTAGACTGTGACATTTCGTTCTAGTCTCTCCCATAAGAGGAAGCAATCTGTCAGCATCAATTCTGCTCAGGATTTTGTACATCTCAACGAGAACACCTGTTATTCTTTCAAACCCGAATGGATACAGACTCATCATGTCTAACCTTTTCCCCCCTTTCATCCAAGGAATCTGAACCTTCTCTGTACTACTGCTAATGCAGTTATATTCATTCTTCAATAAGGAGACAAAAATTGTACACAGGACTACTAGATGTAGTCTCACCAATACTTTGTACAACTGTAGCAAAACTTCCCATATGTATTTCACTCCCCTTGCAAAAAATGTCAACATACCGTTTGCCTCCGTAATCACTCCCTGCACCTGCATACTAAAGTTTTGTGACTCATGTATCAGGACACGGATGTGACTCTGGTAGGAGCAGTGCACTGGAAGTCAAGCACGATTACTCCATGTGCTGTACAAAATGTATAAATACTTTATTCAATCACCAAAGTGGTCCATTTCTTTCACTTTCCTAACATTACCTAAAAGGAAATAGACTTCCACCAACCTTTTCAATAAACTCAAAAATAACACCATTATTGTAGGCAAACTTATTCTTAAAATAAGTGGCAAGCTGGTTTTAACTAGCTACTATGTGAATTAAAAACAAAAAATGCTGGAAAGCACAATGGCTCAGGCAGCATCCATGGTGAGAGAGCAAGCTCATGTTTTGAGTCTGAAGAGTCATTTAGACTTGAAATGTTATCGTGCTGTCTGTCCATGGATGCTGCCTGACCCACTGTGATTTCCAGCACTTTTTGTTTTCAGTGCAGATTCCAGCATCAGCAGTAATGTGCTCCTACTGTGTGAATTGAACAATGTGCCCCTTAATCCTAAACACAGTTCCACATTCGTACACAGCACAAAGACATTCATGATTCTGCAGAGCAGTAATGGGTGGAGGAAAAAAGTTTAGATAGATGGGGGCAAAAAACAAACACCCATATAGGTCAAGTGGTGAATTCAGATGTCAAAAGTAGGTTGACCTCTCACAGTTCCTTTGAATTCTTTTGATAAGATTTGATTGCTAACAGTCACAGAATAATGGAAAATCTTTAGACGAGATTTCAGATTCAGCTGAGAAACAGAGGTGCTGATACTTGAAACTTCAGAACGTTTTTTCAAACTGCCTCACTGAGAAAGATATAGAGAGTAAAAACCAAAAACACTGTGGATGCTGTAAATCAGAAGCAAAAACAAACTGCTGGAAAAACTCAGCAGGTTTGGCAGCATCTGTGGAGAGAAATCAGAGTTAACGTTTCGGGTCCAGTCACCCTTTGTCAGGATCCCAGAAGATAGAGAGAGTTCTGATTTCAGCCCAAACTCTGACTGTTACTGATTGAGTCAGTACAACTTGCCCTTATAAACCTGTCCAGCAACTGCTCAGAATTTCTAGATGTGAACTGAAAAAAAACACCGATTACCTCAGTCCAGAAGCCGTTGCTAGATGATGACAGCATAGATCTGGTAGGGTTTTTCAGGTCTGTTTTCTCAACAATTAAAGCAATAAAACTCCTATTTCTCTCTAAAAGCTCTGCTGATCAAGTTACTCAGTTTTTTGTAAACAGCTAATAGAACACTTTGACTTTGCAATTCCAAGCAAACACATGATAAATCCTTTGCAATCCAGCAATGTTCATACATTTCTATATTCCAATTCTCATTCCATGATATATGCACATCCTTCTGTACTGGAGAGTTCCTTAGTACGCCCTCTGGAGGACCAACATTCACTTTAGTTTTCCTTCTAAATTCCTGTAGGAACTCTTAGTATCTGATTTTTAATTTCTAGCCCATTTCCTCTGTACTGTAAATTCTGCCTTGTTGTGTTTTGGTCATTCTTTCCTGTTTTATACATTCTGTCCAATTTTTGACCTGCTACTTTGAAATCAAATTTTTCAATTTGATTTCAATCTTTAAACTTTCTTGGTTGGCCAGTGATGGACCATCCTTCCCCTGGAATCTTTCTATCTCCGTAAAATACATCTTTCCTGAGTGTTATGAAATGTCTGCCTAAATGTGTGCACTCTATCTGTACTGATCTGTCCGTTAACCTACGTTTTCAGTTCACAATAACTAGCTCAGTCTTTAAACTTGCATAATGGCAATTATGAGGCTTTAAACCTCTAATCTTAGACTAATTTCTCTCCCACAAACTAAACTATGTTCCCTGGTACCTACAGGTGGCTTTACCATCAGGTCATAAGTTACTGCAGTGTCATAGAGTCATACAGCATGGAAACAGGCCCTTTGGTCCAACCAGTCCATGCTGACTTTCATCCCAAACTAAACTAGTCCCACCTGCCTGCACTTGGCCCATATCCTTCCAAACATTTCTTATTCATGTACTAGTCTAAATGTCTTTTAAACATTGTAACTTTACCCACATCCACCTTTGGAAGTTCATTGCACATACGAACCATACTGTGTTTAAAAAAAGAAGTTGCCTGTCATGTCGATTTTAAATCTTCCTTAAAAATATGCCCCCTTATGTCTCATTGAACATTACCCGATCTAGAACAGCTGCTCTCTGGGTTGCTTTAGAACTTGATTGTTCTTAGAAGCTGTCCTGAAACGATTCCAAAATTTGCCAATCTGATTTCTTCAAACCATATGTAGATTTAAAACCACACATGATTATTGCCATACGTTTCTCACCAGCCCCCATTATTTTTTCCTATTACCCTGTCCTACATTGTGCTCGCAGTGGAGGCCTATAAATTACTTCCATACTGACTTCTTTGCTATCCCAACTGATTCGGTACCTTGACGCTTAATACTGAAACAATCTCTCACTATTGTGCATTTTCCATCCTTAATTAATAGAGCTACTTCTCCACCTTTTCCTATGTTTCTCTTTTTTTTTAGAAAGGTGCCATGTTCTCCTGAATATTACAGTCCAATGTTTGTCCTGTTGCAACTATCTCTCTAATGGCCATCTGATCTTAAACACTGCTCACAAGACACAAATTCAAATATGTCTTGCACCCTTCTGGCCCAACATTCAAGAAACCACGTTTGGAAAGAAAACGTCAATTTATACTGCATGAAAAGAAGATGCTCATTGGTTGACCTTGATTGCTACAGAGATGTCAATTTTAACTGAAAAAGTACTCAGTGTAGGCAGAGATAGTGGGAACTGCCGATGCTGGAGAATCTGAGATAACAAGGTGTAGAACTGGATGAATACAGCAAGCCAAGCAGCATCAGAGGAGCAGGAAGGCTGATGTTTCGGGTCTAGACCCTTCTTCAGAAAAAGGGTCTGAAGAAGGGTCTAGACCCGAAATGTCAGCTTTCCTGCTCCTCTGATGCTGCTTGGCCTGCTGTGTTCATCCAGCTCTACACTTTGTTATCTCAGTGTAGGCAGGTAGTCTCTGATTTTTCAGGGAATGCAGCAGGAACTGTGAGTGCCCATGACCCATTTCTTGATGAGATAGGTGCAGTGTATGCACAACTTCTTTTGACATACATAGAATAGGTCCTGTGTATTAATATATATATATATAAGTTTCTCAAATGCACCAATGTATCGCACAGCAAGCCCAACTGATGACCTGAAATTAACTTCTACTTTAGCACAGTCTGGATTATGGTGACCATTGCAATTGGTCAAAGGAATGTGTTGTTTGATTATGGTCTGCCAGTTATTGGGATGTACTTCCTACATACCTGATACCACACCAGCACTGATCACATTAGGCATTTGTTTGAAAGGCAAAACGTTTTTTGGTAACATCCTGTTAGTGGAGAAATCCACTCATGAGTTTACTGCAAAGTAACAACATGGTTCCTTCTAGGCCCAGCTGTTGCTAACATTTCACTGTATACTATGAAAAGCATGTCTTGCTTGGAATCACCACTAACTATCTCCGCTTTTCATTCTTCTGATACGTGGATAATACATTTGTGATATTTGAATCCTCAACTGCATCAAAGAATTTCTTGACATGGCTTAATCAGCTCAAATTTATTATTGAAATAGTATTACCATTGAAATAAGCTCCCTTTCTTTAATGTTGGAAAATCTGTTAGTATGTTCTCTGTCGCTGCCTACCAAAAGTTATGTACACTGGTCAGTATATACGTTGGGATTCCTATATTCCACATGTTACACAATAAAGCTTATAGGCAGCCTAGTGAATAGTGCCCGAGCCGTCTGCTCAACATGTATTGATTTGGGGCATATCAGACCTATCCTACATGATGATGAGTACCCTAATCAAATCATTACTAACTGTATAGGAGCACACTCATGGAAGGTCACTTTTGCAGTAAATACACGTGATAGCAGGGTGCTGCCATCAAGCCAAATCCGCGCTTTACCAACTGCACAAATTAGGATCATGAAAACTACTAGTGTCTGTTGCATTCCCCATGGGAGCATCCCACCCAATGAGAGTAAGCCTGGTCTGAGTAGTTTTTCCATCTGATGAAGATTGACAGTTAACAGTTCCTGTTACCTCTCCATGACAACTGTTGTTCAGTTTCTCAACAGCTCTTCTCGTACTGTATAAATCGATGCTCCCATTCCAAGTTTGATTTCCTGTCTATCTGTCCTGAAGGGTGCAAGATGAAAAGCATTAACCTTGTGTCTCTTTTTAACAATATTTAAGATCTGATGGCTATGAGCAATGTTTAAATTCTGTATCTACCGAGCAATAGCTACCTTTATTTGCTGGTGCTCTCTTTATGTACTCTGTCCTTTGCTATCATGTTATCATCATCCTAATTGCAATCATGCTATCTTGCCTTGTCCTCTCCCTTTGTTTTATTATAGGTTTCCTCAACTACACAATTTAGTTTAAAGCCATCTCTACTACTGTAGGTGTGCAACCCACAGAACACTGGTCCAAGCATAATTCAAATGAAGACCGTCCCAGTGGTACAACTCCCCATTTTCCCCAGTAATGATGCCAGTGCCTTTAGTTCTGATAATAATCCAGAGATTATTACCTTGGAAGTACTACTTTGTAATTTAGCTTCTAGCTTCTCGTACTCCCTCTGTACTATTTCTACCTATGTCTTTAGGACCCATGTGAACATGACAACTGCATGTAACACAACCTTCTGGACTCTAGCTCTTGACTGTAGAGAACTGTATCTGTCCCCATGACTGTACTGTCCCATACAACCTCAACGCCACCCACTCCAGTGACCTCCTAGGCCACAATGCCATAGTCAGTTTGCTCATCTACCCAGCTGTCTTCCATGCAGCTTGCCAGAATTTCAAAACAATTGGACATTTCCAAGGGCTTAGAATCTTCCTCTTCTACCTGCCTTGCATGCAATGTACCCACCCAGTCCCTGACCCTGGACCAAATCAGGTTATCCAATCCTTGTGGGTCTGACCACTTCCTGGAACAAAATATTCAGACCGCTTATCCCACACCCAATGTGTTGCAGTGTCTGCATCTTGTCTCCTGGTCAATGATTCTGAGCCTGTTTCTCAAGCTGCACAACATTAACTGCAAACGTGTTTGTCTTGGATCATGCACAAGCCTACAAGCTCCATAGAACGCTGTGTTACAGAGTTTTCTGTCTATGACAATACCCTGTGTTATTTCAGGGTTCTGTGTGACCAGACCCTCTTGTTACAAAGTACACTCTCTATCTGGTTGGGCACCGTGTTACAGAGCACTCTGTCTATTACCATGTTATTACAAAGCAATCATTCTGTTGTAAGTAATCACATTGTTCCCTGTTAATTTTCAGGAAGTAGCCTATGGGAAATGAAGAGCATGTACCAGTCCCATAAGACTCCAGCCGCCCCAGCTGTGCTGCTCCCAGACATAGATGGTGATGGATTTGCAGACTTGCTGCTCGGGAGCAGACCTACTGTGCTGGTATGGACCAACACTCAGCCTTCGATTGACAACAACTGCAGAGCTTCCAGTGCAATAGCCACAGGATGCCATCCTCCGCGGTTAGGGTGGTAATCACCCTTCATGCCTAGTAAGTGCTGGCTTGGTTCAGTGGTACTGCTCTTGCCTCTGAGTCAGAATATTCTGGGAGTCAATTCCCATTCCAGCATTTGGACACCTTGAGCAAATTTGGGTGGGAGCTCTCCTACTTGTTGCCTTCCTCCTGTAAGTCGGAGGAGTTAAAATGAACAGCCTCAGTGAAAATTTACCCCGTTGCTGACAATCGTGTTCTGACCTGAAGGAGTATGTGATTGTCAGAACTGCATCACCTTGGGGGATATATTAAACCAGGTTCTGGTGGATATAAACAGAGCAGAGAGTTCTCCCACTGCCTGAGCCAGCATCCTGTCCAAAAAACGACACAAGAAAAAAAGCAGACTCACTGAGCAGTCACCCTGGTTGGTTATGGGATCTTCCTGCGCACAATATTACCCATGACCCCACTTCGCAGATGACCCATTGGATGTTAAATGTTTCAGAGCATTCTGAAGGAAAACAGTGATGCTGTATGAATATTTAGTTCTGCACCCTCCTTGTTTATTATCTCCCTGATGTCGCTTTCTCAGACTGAGAGCCCAACCACCAGCCTGATTTTGTTTACTTGCATTTGGGTTCATTGCTAGGTTAAAGTGAGGATAAAAATGATCACGTCATTTCCCCATCATCTCTTGCTTTGGTGATCAGAGCTGTGTGCACACTGCACCTGTTCGGGAGCACACATACCCTTCCCCAGCTATTGCCAAGTATTCATGCACACTGAGTGTGGCCCAGATTTGAGTAAACCTACCTGCTGTTAATGTTGATACTGTGATCTGTTGGCCACATGTAATGGGCGGTTGCACTGATAAAATAATAGCTGTAACAAACTAGCAAAAGGTGCAGTGTCTCCTGCAGGCACATGCTGCAACGTTTTCCCATTTGTCAGTATCAGGGTGAGTGTAACATGATGGGTATTTAAGGTACATTCTCCTCGCAGTAAGCGCCCCCAGAATACTGCTGCCCTCCGTTAGAGTTTAGTCAGTCGGTGAAAGGAGATACCACAACCTATCTGTACTTGGAGGAGGGATTTATTTATCAAATGAAACAGAACGGGTATATGTCTCCTGACTCCATTGAAATGTTGTGTCAGCAAGTATTTCTTAATGTTGCTCAAGAGACCGTCCAATCAAAGTACTCTCCCTTCTGTCATTAAGTTCATTTGAAACGTTAACTCTCTGAACCTCAATGCTGTGATGCCCTGGGTATCTTGTAGCTTCTCTGAAGCAGCTGGTGGATCTTACGGGGCTTAGCCTGTTTTTAACTGATATTCTTCCCCCTCCATAGGCTCTAACCGTGTTCTGGAAACTTGCTGCACTTGCCATTCTTACCACACAAGTCCAGATCTTCTGATAGTAAGATAGTCGTTGAAGCGGAGACTGGAGTTGTGCTTTAGACATTGAGGATGTCCCAACACAGCCAGGAATTGCTTAGGAAGTTGAATATTCCAGTGGGCGATCCCTGGTGCATGGAAGTCTCTGAAAATGTCCCCAACTCTCAGTTAGAAGCTTCAGAAGGTTCTAACTCGGTCACCTTAATAGTTAGCTGGGAAATGTTAGAGGAACTGAAATCTGTTCCAACTCTTGGCTGCTGACCCCATCACCTACTCACCACTGCTCCTCCCTCAAACTAAATCAGCTACCACTGCAGAAGGGGCATAGTCTCAGCATTAATCCACGTGGACTGCTGCACTGAACTGTGTTCCTTCAGCTGGGAGGGTTTTTTGGCCTGGAAGTTCGGCCGATAAACTCCACTGCAGGTAAGTGAGCCAAATTTTATCTGGTCTCGTTTGGAAACAAGGATTCCAATCCAGATCAGGATATTCAAGGTGATGACTTTGACAGAGAGTTCTTACCAGTGTGTGAGACTGGAGTACCTTTAGGCCCTGACCAAGTGACAATGAGAGATTCCTTTCCTAAGGGCCGTGAGTGAACTCATTCAGTCTCTCTGACCGTCTGACAGCTTCATGGTCTCTTTTAAATGACATCATATTTTTAAAACTGAATTCAGTTCTCCGGGGATTCAAACCCATGTTCACTGGGTAACCAATCCTAGAGTTTGGACTCCTGTTCCAGTAACATAGTGCAGTTCACTGAGGAGTGAGTCAGTTCACTCAGATGGGTGGGAGGAATGCAATCATCTGTGAATATCCAAGACTTGCTGTGCATTATTCTAACAAATTGTTTCTGTTCCAGACCAGTCGGCTTCGTGAAATCTCCTTTGTATTTGTGTCAGGAGCAACAGGGGCCTTGATTGGCCGGTCAGTTTCTTACAATGTCACCGGTGAGGGCAAGCTGATTGGTCCAAAGGCCTGTATGTCTGGAGGAGGCACGCTGTACGTTCTGTTTGGCTATGGTAAGGAGGAGAGACCAAATTAATCTTCCCTGATCCCTCGTTAATGTTTGACTACTGTTTCCCATCTGGATCCTCAGCTCCTTTGTGCCCCTCCTATCTTGGGCCACATTTTTGGTTATTGTCCATGCCACACACAGAGGGCCATGGTGCTACTTAGAGAGGTGCCGGATTGCAACACCATTCCCCAGTCAGGCTGAACTAGAACCTCTGGCTGTGTGAGTATAGCATTCATCCAACTGATCCGCAAGCAGGGACATAGAGTTAATCTTCGCCCCTTCATCACAAAGGTCAATGTAAAACGCTGAGACAATCACATACACACTGCTGCTCGCTGATCTCTGTCAAGTTTTAATGACCAACTACAGTCAACAATAAGGAAAACCTTCAAGGCCCTTCATTTCTTGCTAAACACCCCTGATGGCCTCCCTGTTTTTGTGCTGTGTGGCTCTATGACACAATATGACTCCTCCTTGATTCCATTTTCTGGACGGCTGGTTCACGATGATGCACAGTGATGCTGACAGCATGGCTCGATTCCCGCACTGATTAAGGTCACCATTAAAGCCCCTCCCTTCTCAACCTTGCCCCTCGCCTAAGGCATAGTGATCCTCAGGTTGAACATGCCACCAGTTGCCCCTTTCTAATGGCAGAGCAACCTTGGGCTTCTGGGACTATGGTTATTTCATATGCCATCTGTTACGCAGAAACATAGAATATAGGTGCAGTAGGAGGCCATTTGATCCTTTAAACCTGGTCTGCCATTCAATATGATTATGGCTGATCACAAAAAGCTCAGTCCCCATGGTCCTGTTTCCTCCCCATACGTTTTAATCCCTTTAGCCCCAAGAACTGTATCTAACACCTTGAAAACATTCAATGTTTTGATCTCAACTGTTTTCTGTGGTAGAGCATTCCCAGGCTCACCACTTTCTGGGTCAAGAAATTTCTCCTAATCTCCATTCTTAAATGGTCTGCTCTGCATCTTTAGACCGTGACCCTTGTTTCTGGACTTCCTGGTCAGCAGGAAAATCCTTCCTGCCTTTACTTTGCCTAATCCCGGTTAGAAAATTTCATACATTTACGCGACATTACACCCACCTCTACAATTCTTCTAACCTCTAGAAATTATAATCCTGACATATCCAGTCTCTCTTCCTATGTCACTCCTGCCATTTCAGGAATCAATCTATTTACACCAGCTACATGTGCCGCCAATAGCTTGATCATTCACAGCTCCACCTTCTGCCATGAGGTCAGATCCTCTAAAATGACATTCCTGTAACCTGTCCACCATCAGCACTTCCCTTCTCCTTTCCAAAAGCTTTGACCGAGGCCTTCTCCTCTCTAGCATCTCCACACTGTCATCTCTCGCCTGATTTTACTTCCTACTCAATATGCCTTCTGTACTTGGAGTCTGAGAGGCCATCAATGTGTGCAGCTTGTCCGAAATCTAAATTTATCATGAAAGTTCATCTGATGAAATAATATCTGCATGTAACATGGTGGCGTGAGAAAGGAAAGCCTTTAATTGGATGAAGTATGGTTTTGCAACTAGTTTCTATTTTAGGATTAGGATGCCATAGAATTTATAGAATAGTTTAGCACAGAAGGAGTGCACACCAGCTTCTTCTTATTCATTGGATGGCTAATCCATTATTTATTGTCCCTTCCTTGTTGCCATTGAGAAGGTGGTGGTGAGCCATGTTTTGAACTGCTGCAATCCATGTGGGATAGGTACACCCACAAGGCTGTAAGAGAGGAAGTTCCAGGATTTTTAGCCAGTGACAGTGAAGGAATGACGATATATTTCCAAGTCAGGATGGTGAGTGGCTTGGAGGGGAACTTGCAGATGGTGGTAGTGTTCCCATCTAACTCTTGTTCTTGTAGATGGAAGTGGTCGTATCTAAGGATCTTTGGTGAATTTCTACGGTACATCTTGTAGCTGGTACACACTATTGCTACTGAGCGTCGGTGGTGGAGGGAGTGGATGTTTGGGGATGTGGTTCCAATCAAGCGGGCTGCTTTTTCCTTGATGGTGTCAAGCTTCTTGAGTGTTTTTGGAGCTGCACCCATCCAGGTAAATTGGGATTATTCCATCTCAAACCTGACTTGGGGTTGGGATAAGGATATGGGAGAAGGTGCTCGGGCCCTAAAATTCTTAAACTTGATATTGAGTTCTGAAGGTTCCAGGATCCCCAAGTGGAAAATAAGATGCTGTTCTTCCAAATAGTGCTGGACTTTGCTGGGGCACTGCAGCAAGCCCAAGACAGAAATTTTGACCAGGGAACATAGTGGTGTGTTGAAGTGGCAGGCAACAGGAACATTGGGAATTTTGCAGGTAGAATGTAGTTGTTCTGCAAAGCTGTCACCCAGTCTATGTTTTGCCTGCCTAGTGTGGAGGAGACCACGTCATGAGCAGTGAATACAGTAGACTAGATTGAGTGAAGTGCAGGTATAACACTGGTTCGCCTGGAAGGTATGTCAGGGGTCTTGTATACTGAGGAGGGAAGAAATAAACAGACAGTTGTTACACCTTCTGCAATTGCAGGGCAAAGTGTAATGGGAGTTTGGGGAAGTATTGGGAGTGGAGGAGGAGTGGACCAGAGCCTCCCAGACGGAGTGGTTCTTATATAAGGGTGACAAAGGGGTGGTGCAAGGGGAATACGTCTGGTGATGGTATCCCACTGGGTGTGGTGGGAATGGTGGCTAATGATCCTTTGGATGTAGATGTTGGTGGGATTGTAAGTGAGGACCAGGGGGACACTGTGGCTGTTGTGGAAGTAAATGGAAAGGGTGGGGGCCGAGGTGCGGGTAATGGGCCAGGCACAGCCGAGGGCCCTGTCAACCACAGTGCTGGGGAATCTTCAGTTGAGGAAGAAGGTGGACGTTTTGGAGGGCCACTTTTAGAAGCTGGCATCATCGGAACAGATGCGATGGAGATGAAGAAACCGGGAGAATGGGATGGAGTCCGTAGAGGAAGCAGGGTGTGAGGATATAGAGTCAAGGTAACTGTGGGAGTCGGTGGATTTGTAGTGGATATTGGCGGCCAGCCTGTCCCCGAAAATGGAAACACAGAAGTTGAGGAACGGAAGGGAGGTATCAGGGATAGAACAGGTGAAGGTGAGGGCAGTTTGGAAATTGGAAGTGAAATTGATAAACTTTTCAATTTCCAGACGAGAGAGGGAAGCAGCACCAATGATATCATCAATATGTCAGAGAAAGTTGTGGGTAGGGGCCGGAGTGGGACTGGAACAAGGAATGTTCCACGTGCCCCACAAAGAGACAGGCATAACTGGGGCCCATGCGGGTACCCATAGCCACCCCTTTGACCAGAAGAGAGGAATTAAAGGAGAAGTTGCTCAAAGTGAGGACAAATTCAGCCAGGCGGAAGAGGGTGGTGGTGAATGGGAATGGTTTGGAACTTTTTTCCAGGAAGAAGCGGAGACCGCTGAGACCATCCTGGTGAGGGATGGATGTATTAAGGGATTGCACAGCAATGGTAATGGGGAGGTGGCTAGAGCCCACAAACTGGAAATTCTGAAACTGACATGAAACATCAGAGGAATCACGGTCTAAGTGGGAAAGGACTGGTCAAGGGGATCAAAAACCAAATCAAGGTAGGAAGAGATGAGTTCTGTGGGGCAGGGGCAGGAGCAGGCAGAAACAATGGGTCTGTTTGTGTGTTTTGGGAAGGAGGTAGAAGTGAACTGTGTGGGGTTGGGTGACGATGAGCTGGGAGACGGGGGATGGGGGAAGATCACCAGATGAAATGAGGTTAGTGACTGTTGTGGACACAATATCCTGATGTTCCATGGTGGGGTTAACGCCCGGGGGAGATAAGAGGAGGTGTCCAAGAGCTGGTGCTGAGCCTCTGCAATGTAGAGGTCAGTATGCCAAACTGCAACACCACCCTTATCATCAGGTTTGATGACAAAGTCAAGGTTCGATCTGAGAGCACAAAGTGCAGTCAGTTCATGGGGAAATAGGTTGGAATGGGGAAGGGGGTCAGAGAAATTGAGGCAACCAGTGTCATGTTGACAGTTGTCAATGAACAGATCGAGTGCGGGTAAAAGGTCAGAGGGAGGGGTCCAGGTGGAGGGAGTGTGTTGGAGGTGGGTGAAAATGGGGAGAAGACTCTTGTCCAAAGAAATGGGCATGGAGGCAAAGATGATGGAAGAAAAGTTCAACGTCAAGTTATGCCCAAAGTACAACTGACGTTCATCTAGTCATAGAGTCATACAGCTGTACAGCATGGAAACAGACCCTTCAATCCAACTTGACCATGTCAACCAGATAGCCCAAATTAATCTAATCCCATTTGCCAGCATTTGGCCCATATCCCTCTAAACCCTTCTTATTCATACGCCCATCCAGATGCCTTTTAAATGTTGTAATTGTACCAGCCTCCACCACTTCCTATGGCAGCTCATTCCATGTGCACACCACCCTCTATGTGAAAAAGTTGCCCCTTAGGTCCCTTTTAAATCTTCCCCTCTTACCTTAAACGTATGCCCTCTAGTTTTCAACTCGCCCACCCTGGGGAAAAAGACCTTGGCTATTCACCTTATCCACACCCTTCATGATTTTATAAACTTTTATAAGGTCACTCCTTGGCCTCAGATGCTCCAGGAAAAATAGCCCCAGCCTATTCAACTTCTTTCTATAGGTAAAACTCTCCAACCCTGGCAACATCCTTGCAAATCTTTTTGAATCCTTTCAAGTTTCACAACATCCTTCCTATAGCAGGGAGACCACAATTACACACAGCATTCCAAAAGTGGCCAAACCAGTGTCCTGTACAGCAGCAACATGACCTCCCAACTCCTATACTCTATGCACTGACCAATAAAGGCAAGTGTCCCAAACACTTTCTTCACTATCCTGTTTACCTGGGACTTTATTTTCAAGGAACTATGGATCTGCACCCCAAGGTCTCTTTGTTTAGCAGCATTCCCCAGGACCTTACTATTAAGAGTATAAGTTCTGCCCTTATTTGCCTTTCCAAAATGCAGCACCTCACATTTATCTAAACTAAACTTCATCTGCCACTCCTCAGCCTGGTGGCCCATCAGATCAGGGTCCTATTATACTCTAATGTAACCTCCTTTGCTGTATTTTCCGTGTGAATCTTCAATAAGAAAGTAAAGATTATTCACCAGATACCACTTTTAAATGTTCGTTGCTTGTGAGTGAAAATTCCAAACAGCCCAGACAGGTTCGCAGTAAACAGCCTGACCTTTGGAAAAGGATAAGAAGGTGATTAATATTCTGCAGTTGCTAGTGCCATCACTTGGAGAATATGAGGTAGTGCAAGAACAGGTTACATGTTTGGGAAGCAGGAATGCAGTTATGATCATACTGAGAAAGACTGTGGTCACTGTTCATTACAGTACTGAGGCTGAGAAACCTGACAGAAGACCGGGTTATTCAGATTGTGGTGAGGAAGGGACGCCAAGCTTGGGTTTTGAGAGAACGGAAAGGTATATTTCAAAAAGAAGACAAAGCAGCTGAGGAACTGCGCAGTTGTGAGGGAACGCACCTGAATAAATGTACAGTGAGAATCTTAATCTAACCAATTATTCAGCCAGAAAAGTAATATGTTCTTATCATTTAAACAAAAAATGTTAAGCCTCCAGCATCTCAAGTATGCCATGGACAGGTACTGAGAGGAAACTGAACCATTTAGTTTGATATTTTGTACAATCTTGTATGTGGACAAATTTGAATTCTATAAATTTTATGAATAAAGTGTACATTTGGGGACAACAACGTAGTGATTAAAACAGAAGCTCGTCCCAATTCCTGTGGCAAGTGCAGCTGTTAGCTAAAGTTTGCATGTTTGATTTTGAATTCTGTTCCTAATTGGTAATTAAATTATCCCCTAAATCACAGCCCTGCGTCAGAGTTAACTTATTAAAACAGTGAACGACAGCTGAAAGATGACACAATGGGAGCACAAAAAAAGACTTCTCGTTCCTAGAATAGGGAGCAATTATTCTTTGTAAAGAATCCTCCTGCACTTCACTAACACAAAATCTTCCCTTCTAAAGGAACCATCCAAGCTGTGGCTGTGAGGGACATTTACACCCAAGCGAATGGCAAAGGCAGCTTGCCTCCATCTCTACAAAGCCAGGACACTCTATGGGAATGGAAGAGAAATGGGAACCTGTCTGGATTGTTGGAAGTGTACAGGTGACTATCACACAAATAGCACGTGGAGCAGTCAGGAGTGTTTTGGCAGGACACTTGGTGGGTTTATGTCTGGACAGCTGTTTCTGAGAGCATCTGCTACCTTTAGTAATGGTGCATTGGGAGGTGAAGGGAGCCAGCTGCAATTGCCAAGGTTTAACCTACTTTCAGGGTGTTTCAAACTCTGGTCAAAAACAAGGAATTAAGCTGAGAAATCAGCGGCAGCAGTAGTTTTAGAGTAGGCCTGCGAGAGGGCCCCTTAATTAAATCACAGGCTGGGAAAGTGATCTGAGGCACAGGTTCAGGAAACTCCTTACATCTGTGACTGTGTCACTCAGACTCCTATTTAACTGGTCTTCAGTCCTCATAGCATATAGATTGAGACACCTGTCTCTGCATCTCTATAGTACTTTGCATCCCAAAGTGCATCACAACTACTAAAGTACTTTTGCTGCACTGTTGACAATACCTTCCATCATTTTGCTGACCGGGGCAGTAACTGAGTGGATTGGATTTGCCTCACTTGGACAAAATATACCTGGACAATTTTCTGCATTATCAAGTAGATGTTATAGCTTTGCTGAAATATCTTGGCTAGAGGCACAATTTGTTCAGTGCTATTGGTGGAATGTTGTCAGGACTCATTGTGTTTGCAGCATGCAATACCTTCACCTTTAGCTGTTTCTTACTATCACATGGACTGAATTGAATTGTTTGAAGACGAGTATCTGTACCGCTGGGGACCTATTGAGGATGAGGGCTGTTTTTGGAGCTGCCGCCTCCATTGAATTGTTTAATTGTCTGCCACCATTCACAAGTTGGCAAGACAGAGCTTTAATTTGATATGTTAGTTGTGGCTCTGTCTATATCAGTTGTTAGCATGAAATAAAACCTTTCTAAATATGACTTGTTGTTTGGTGAACTTAAGACAGACAGCTCTGTTTGTTGGTTAAATTGTGCAGGGCATGAGGTTACTATCTTCCTTTGTGCTGCCTCTCTGAGGGTTTGCATGTGACACTGATTCTCTTCCAGGAGACTGCACTTAGTCACGTAGTAAGAATGATGCCAAAACAGGCTCATCATCCTGCAATCCAAAATAGCAATAAACTGACCTGTTTCAACAATCAGTCACGTATTTGAACAAGCTGCTGTAGCAGTGCTTTCTCACATGACTGCATTGTGCTGTCAACAACAGACTTTAAAAGATGACCTCGAGAGCCAAGGACACAGGGTCACTTTAGGTTAACAAACTAATTCAGCAACATGCTCGGAACCATTTATTCATGGGGTAAGTGCTGCTGAGATGGATGGGGTGAACATGCGGGGAGGGCTTTATCCTTGTAGTTGATAAATTGCAAGCAGAATGTTCATGTACCATATAAAATCTACAGATTGCAAGAGATCAATGCACAGGAAATGCTCGATCTCTGGCTAATGGTCTCCAGCTGTCCACCAGTGCATATACCCTCCGGCACATGCTCTCTGTTCGCCCACTGGTGCACAGTCCGCCCTTGGCCTCCCATGTACAGGGCCTCCCATGTATAGAGCTTCCCATACATGGACCGTGCTTGCAATCCAGTTGACAAAGGCCTCTGGTTGAGTTGAGTACTGTCAGATGAAGGTGCAGGTGGATGATTGTGGCACGGCATTTTGCCATTTCGGCTTTCGGGCTTCGGGCAACGATTTAGCATACAAGCTGCAAGCACTGCCCATAGGCTAAGGAACCTATGAGATGAACAACAGCCTGTGATCAGCAGGGTGATAGGAAGCGACTGGGTGTTCAAGCAACTGCCAAGTCGGGAGGTCACATACCGGGACAAGGCGGGGGGGGCCTTTAGTACAATCTGTCTCACTCACATTTTAAAAGCAAGGGAATGGTTAATCTACCTGACCTTTCCATCAACATTTACTGCTGATGTGATGTAATTAAAATCTCCGAAGAGGAGAAAACCTAGGAAGAAGAGTCAAGTGAAAGGCATGAGCTGTATTTTTCCATCGTCCTGACTGAATCAAATCACATGTAATACAGAACTGTGAGAGACAAGGGAGCAGGTGGATTATGTATCTGTACACAAGTTCATTATCAGCCTGAGCCCATCACTGATCCCCTTTCAGCTTCTCCAGTACACACTCCTTCCCTTTCTTCACTGCTGTTCACACAGAAATGTAAGCTCCGTGTCTGCAGGGCACAGATATATCTGGACAGAGTTAAACAATATCACTTAACAAAGAATCCAACACATACAGAGACTGAGTGAGACGGCTTTGTCGTTTCATAGAAAATCAGCTCCACTTGCAGCTTCAGTGCTCATGAATTCCACATCTACTCATTCACCCCAGGGACAGGGAGAGTTTTACTGACATTGTTCTGTATCAGTCCCCAGCCTAGGGAGAGACATCTTCAATACTGCAACGTAACCCAGCTCACTCACTGATCAAGCCAGCCTCAGAGTCTGGGATAATCTCACTGCCCACAGAACCACGGATGGAAGTGATTACCTGCCACCAAACATGCCCCCACCCACAAAAAAAGGGAATCTCACTGGCTGTGGGACCCAGGGTGCACTGATGGGGGCCTGGGGTTTACACTGTGGGGAACCGAGGCACGGACTGACTGTTGCTCACCTTGTCTCCCAATGACACTAACGTCCAAGGCTGTGTTTCTGATCATTTGCAGTGAGAGAGGTCACTGAGGTGCTCCAAATGCAGCCAGGATAGACTGGAGAGCACTGCCCCCTGCTGCCCTCTTCCCTGCACAGTTTTCAGAGGGACAACAGTCAATTGCTCAATGAAGTGGATAGGCTTTACTGAAATTAAAAATTTCTTTTAGACAAAAATCTCAATTCTTCAGTTTTCTAGAGTGAAACATGAACTTCAGCCAGTAACTCACCAAATGTTGCTGCTTTTTGCTTGCACCTAGCTTTGTTCCCATAATTGAATCAGACACTGGCTCTGGCTGTGTCTAACCTGTGTTCCTAACATCCTACTCCCCTGCACCATCACCGCCTCCCCCCTTCCACACCACATCACCACCACCAACTGTGTCCCAGTGTCCAGACCCTCAGGGGGATGGGGGAGGTCTGAACAGAGTTAGGAGGGGTTCTATACAGGGTGCAGGGAGAGGGTCTGTAAAGGGGGGGTGTTCTTTGTAGGGTGCAGGGGAGGGAGAGTTTGGGGGATTTGATTTGATTTATTGTCATGTGTATGAGTACAGTGAAAAGCTTTGTTTGCGAGCAGTACAGGCAGATCACAGCAAGCAAGGGCATACATATCACAGGGTGAAAAAGAGTGAACAGTGTGTGACATACAGGTTACACTGCACAGGACGTGTGCGAGGCAAGATTAACATTAACAAAGTGGGGGGGGCTTCTGTACAGGGTGTGTGGGCAGCAGTGGGGGTAGGTCTGGCAGGGGTCAGTACAAGGGTAGGGTGGAGATATGGGGGTCTGTATATGGGTTATGAGACTTAATCGGTTAATTTTGATATAATCAAGTCTATTTTTGTCCCAGCAGCAATGATTCTGTGAGGGACGTACAGACGCTGAGCAGACATGGAGGGAGTGACAGTGACATATTGATCACCACAAAGAGTAGATTGCACCGTCTGAGTCGGCAGCATCTCCTGCAATTATGGTCAGCGAACGGAAGCAGCATTGACAGGTGAGCCTATGGTGTGGCAGAATTTCATCAATGGTCAGTGTCCAGGGAATACTGTTCTGTGCAGGAATCTCCTCAATAAAATTAAAAGCAGTTTTTTTCCCTTTTTGTTGCTGTCTCACCTCCCTATAGTAGCACACCGAAAATCAAGCCCCACTATTTCCAGATTGTCAAAGATTCTTTTAAAGCGTGTGCCAATTTCTCAATGTACCTGCCTTTTAGTCCTAAGTTGACAGAAAACATAGACAAGCAAATAGACTCTCGCCACAAGTAAGCAATAATGAATTGTTGGCATATAATTAAACCTCTAATCTTCTTATCAGCTGCCCCTTCCATATCCATACAGTGCCACAGACAAAAACAAACAACACAGAGATAAAAAGTGGGAAGACAGTTCAGAGATCCCTGTTCACAGGATCTGCTGAGATCGTTCTTGTGCTGATCAGAACACTTTCTCAGTCCTGTTCCTCTGGATACTTTCACTTGTTTGAGGGAGGCACAGGGTGGCTGGTTCACATTTCTAAAAATTCTCTGACTGATTACTTAATTAGTTGTAGCTTACAGGAACTGTGAGAAGGAAGAATAAACCGGCTTTCTTCAGGCTGAAAGTAGGTTTTACTGCACAGAAGAGAGCTTCTGAGCTGGTGGAAATTAGATGGATCTACTAATCACAGCCCTGAGCTGCTCAGCTACCTGAGAACCAGTCACACAGTTTTTAGCAGGCAGAAGACTTCTGTCATCTCTAATTGGTAACTCGTCCACAAACCAATCAGCTACTTCTTGTCAGCTTTACATTTATTCATATCCTTGGCACCAGCTATTCTTCACTTCTAGATTCATAGAAGCATAGGAAATAGTGCAGGAGTAGGCCATTCGGCCCTTCGAGCCTGCCCCACCATTCAATATGATCATGGCTGATCATGCAGTTTCCATATCCCACTCCCACTTTCTCTCCATACCCCTTGATCCCTTTAGCCGCAAGGACTATGTCCAGCTCCGTCTTGAATGTATCTAACGAACTGGCCCCAACACCTTTCCATGATTAAGAATTCCACAGGTTCACAACTCTGAGTGAAGAAATTCTTCCTCATCCCAGTCCTGAATGGGTTACACATTATTCTTAGCCTGTGACCCCTAGTTCTGCACTTCCCCAACATCAGGAACATTCATCCCACATCCAGCTGTTCAGTCCTGTCAGGATTTTACACATTTCTATGAGATCCCCTTCATTCTTCTAAATTCCGGTGAGTACAAGCCCAGTCGATCTGAACCAGCATCTGTTTAAACAGTGTTTACGATGAGTGTCAGGTTACTTGTTATCAAAACCTGCAGTAATCCTTCAGCAATACTCGGCTTTAAAATGGTTCCTCTTGGTCCACAATTGAAAACAGACGGAAAAGTAAAGACATGATCTTTACGTTGACATTACAATATTGGCACGTTATACTTACATAGACCTTGATTAATCACAATGCATTACAATCTGCATGTCACTCCATGCTGTGTGATTGTTGGTGTGATGTGTCTCATGTTACTGTCTCCTCTGAGGGTGGTGGGGAAGGCTTGGTTCCATTGGGTTGGAGGTGAACAATGAAGATTCCCGTCCCATGCAGCAGAATACCCACTTTATTCCCTCTGCGTTACCCTAATAAGAATGGTTTTCCTTCCAGTTCTCCTGTCACTGGCTTCTTCAACCAAGACGACGTCCTGGATTTCCTGATCCAGATCACGAGCAGGAGCAACGTGAGAGAGGTGGGGGCTGCAGATTTGCTTTGAGGGGTTCCATTTCATTCTGGTAGTGCCTCAGTACCATGTACCATTCCTCAAGTGACCAGGCACTCCTTTATGCCTCTCCTCTTCCAGTCACTGTCCTTGTGAGACAATTTACTTGTGCTACTGGTGAGGGTTTAAATTAACTTAGCAGGGATGTAGGGACTGGCTAATAGAGAGAAAAGCCGAGGTGCACAAAAGTTTGGAGCAAAAGATATCACTGGACTCTAAAATGGTAAAGTATTCAGTGAGCTCAGGAATGCAATAGGTGGTCTAAATCAGGTTTACAGGGAATGCATGTACGTGAAAGTGCATAAAACTAAGTGGGACCCTGACATCGAGATGGATCCCCAGCATGGAGCAATTTTTCTTTTCTACCTTATGACAAAAGATTGAGTAGTTCGGGACCGTACTCATTGGAGTTTAGAAGAATGAAAGCAGACCTTATTGAAATGTACGAGGTTCTTGGAGGACTTGACAGGTTGGGTCCTGAGGAGCTGTTTCCCCTGTGGAAAGAGTCTGGGACCAGAGGGCATAATCATAGAAGATCATGATCATAGAATCCGTACAGTGTGGAAACAGGCCGTTCAGCCCAACAAGTCCCTATGACCCACCTAATCTACTCATCCCTGAACACTACAAGCAATTTAGCATGGCCAGTCCACCTAGCCTGCACATCTTTGGACTGTGGGAGCAAACCGGAGCACCCAGAGGAAACTCATGCAGACATGGGGAGAATGTGCAAACTCCACACAGACAGTTGCCCGAGGGTGGAATCAAATCTGGATCCCTGGCGCTGTGAGGCAGCAGTGCTAACTACTGAGCCACTATGCCGCCCCAAATCACTGATAATCTCAGAACAAGGGATGGCACAGTTAGGACAAAGACTTGGAGGAATACCTTGTCTCGGAGGATAGTGAATTTGTAGAATTCTTTACCTCAAAAACCAGTCAAGCCTGGGTTGTTGAGTATATTCAAGGCTGAGGTAGACTGATGTTTAATCATTATGGGGATCGGGATTATGGGGGAAAGGTAGGGGAGGGTAACATTTAGTGGACAGTGATCATTGTATCACAAAGTTTAGATTAGCTTTTGGGGGGAAAAGAACCAATCCAGTGAGAATGCAATTAATTGAATCTGGCCTTCCCCCAAAATGGTAAGGCCAGATCTGACCCAAGAAAGTTAGACAGGGAACACTGTAGCAGAACAAGGAAACCAAGCAAAATACTGCTGGAAATCTGAAGTAAAAAGCAGGCAATGCTGGAAATAATGAACAGGTCAGGCAGTATCTACGGAGAGAAACATTTAACTTTCTGGTTGATAACTGTTCATCAGAACAAAGACAATGGAGCTGCCTGTTAGGAGAAGATTGTTTGGTGTGGTGAAGGTATTTTTCCACAAGAGAGAAATGTAGAACAAACAGCTCCCTAAGTTACAAGAGAGTAAGATGCAAAAGGGTGAACTTGAACAGGACCATGCCAGTATTAATACTTCCTCCCAGCCCTCTTCATCTAACCCAGTGTTTCTGATATTATGGTCTACTGACAGCAGGCTGCAGTGTTGGTATAGCAGTTGTGAGATGGGCACTACCAAGGGTGCTGAAGTCAAGGTGGTCAGTGTGCAGTGACAGCTACAGGAGATGCTGCTTACCATCCCTAACCGTGTGCTCCTGTTCTCCCCCTGCTCCTCTAGAGTTCTGTGGGGATTTCTGTCTTTCCTGAAAACATTATTAAGGCACTGTTTACACAGAACACTTCCCTACTACGGATATTATTATAGTGTGAGAATTTAGATCTGACGTTTGTCTGCAGGCCCCATGTACTGGTTCATCACCAATCATCTGTGCTGACAGGTCAACACTGCTCCCAGAAAAAGCCCAAATTCTAGAGAAAAAGCTAAATTGCTTTTAACTAATTCTCAAATGCCTTCATCCATCAGTGACGAAGCAATCAACAAACTACCAAAGATTGCCATTAACTACTTCCATGAAGATCCTCCTTGTTCGGATTAAAGATGATTATAAAAGTACACTAGTCCCCAGTTTACCTGGCTTTTAGATCCAGGTTGACAGAAAGTACAGACAAGCAAATAGACTCTCACTACAGTTAAACAATTATGAACTGCCAGCATCTGTTCAGAACAATAAATGCTACCAAACCCTTGTCCAGAGACACTGCTTCAGGAGTTATTTATCCCAGCTGAGTATACAAAGCTGGAGGTCAATGCTTTGTCAAGAAGTTGATTGAACTCTTTGAATCAATGTGTAAGCAAGGAGTCATCCTGAAAGAATACTAAGATGCCTCCATTGTCTAACTGTATAAGTGGGAAGGAATTTGCTAATCTTGTAACAATCATAGTCATCCTACATCTCTCCGTCCCAAAATCTTCACTAGAATCTTCCTGAGTTGATTAATGCAACTTCTCAGGATCTGCTGCCAGAAAGTTGTTGCAGTTTTGAAGTTTGAGGAGCCACTGATGTGGCGTTTATAGTTAGACAGCTCCGGGAAAAGCATCCAGATCAGAGGGTAGACACTCTACACAACGTCTATGAGCAAAACCTTTGAGACGTTCAAAGCCATGAGGATCTTTGGAAGATAATGGAGAAATTTGACTGCCCTGAAAGATTCTTCGCTATGGTTCAAGAGTTCCACGCTGTCATACTTAAGCATGACCCATTCCGAGTCGCTAATAGAATTAAACTGGTCAGTGTGCTAGTACCAGCTCTCTTCAGTATGTTATTCTCCTCCCTGTCCTTGGATGGCTTCGACGATGACAACACTGGCGTTAACTATCGCATGGCCTGTAGCTGCTCAATCTGAGAAGACTCTGGATGAAGACCACAGTCTCCAAAGACATCATGATTTCTTGTTTGCCAATAACTGTGCATGAGCTGACAGTTCAGAACTGGGCAGGCAATGAGGCATGAATATGTTCTCCATTGCAAGTAATAACTTCAGCCTTAGAAAAGCTGAAGTAATGGACCAGCCTACTCCAGGAAGACCCCATCTTGAGCCCAAGGTTTTGGTCGATGACCAGAACCTGTCAGCAGCAGGAAATCCACTCCCTTCCACAACACACAACCCTTGATGTCTGTGTTGAAGAGTGGACACATGCAAACATTGGTACAGCAATTGTAGTCTTCAGCAGTGTGGGGATGAAATGGAGTAAGTCTGTTTACCAAACCCCACATCTATAAGAGTATACTCCTGCCCACCCTGCCCTACACATGCGGCATTTGGGCAGTGTCCCAGTGTCATCCCAACAAGCTCAACCCCTTTTTATCTGATCTGGCTGTGGAAGCTTCTGAAGATCAGATGGCTAGACAAAGTACCAGGCACTGAGGTGCTGACCCGAGCTGACATGCCAAGCACCCACACCACCGATCCCTGGATGCAACAGCCCACCTTTGCTTTCCAGTCGCAACTGAGTTGAGCTGGTCACGTAGCTCAAGTGCCGACTCTCGATTACCAAAGTGAATCTTTGCAAAATGAGACAAGAAGACGATAAAACCTGTCAAGCCTGCTCTACCATTCAGTGCAATCATGGCTGGTCTTCAGCTTCAACTTGGCTTTTCCACCTGCTCCCAAATCCCTCCATTCCCTGGAAATTGTCTGTTACAGACTTAAATATTTTCAATAATAGAAAATCCATGACCTCCTGGGATAGAGAATTCCAAAGATTTTAGAACCCTTTGTTGGAAGAAATTTTCTTCACATCTCAGTTGTAAATGATTGCCCCTGATTCTGAGACTGACAGCTTGTGCCTGGGGTGTACTGCCATGGTGGTCACAGGAAATGCTAGAAGGACATTCTGAATGCTTCCCTGAAGAGATTTGAAATTGACACCGAGTGCAGGGAAAAACCCGCCCAGGATCACTGCAGAGAGCATTCTTGAGGCTTCCTTCCAAAGCAAGTGCATGTTAGAGGCCGAGAGGAAATCCTGAACCAGGAACTTGCTCGTAATTCATTAGTCTCCAGTCCCCTGACCTGTTCATAGCCGTACCCTCCAGTCAGTGACCTCAGTCACCCACGTATCCACCAGTGTCCCATCAAACATCCCACAAAATGGAAATGGTCGTCACCATCATCATCATCTCTAAGGACTAATGTCATCAGAACCTAGATATTGCCTGTGGTTACTAATCCATTTTAAAGGTATTCTTCAACGAAAATATTTGAGAACGACTGATCAAACCCCTTCGCTATATCCTATTCCTCTCTCCCTTGTGCTTATTTAGATTTCCTTTTCCTAAAATTGTCCCACTAATTGGTATATACAGCAATGTGTAAATGTGACAGGAATAGTGAGAGATCGAATAATTGAGACATTGCTTCCAGAAGTAAAATTGTTATGCAGCTGGGTTTATTGTGTTTTCAATTGGCCAGTATATCTGAAGTGGTGCTAAAATTTGAGCCGTGTGTTTCTTGTTGGCTGCAGAAATCTGACATTCTTTATAACTACTTTATTCTGATCGCAGAGTTTAATTATTGACGGGAGTTCAGGTGAGGAGCTTTGGAAAGCAAACATGGACTGTCGCATCCAGGAAGCAGCCTCTATACCAATGTCCAATGGGAGATCTGCGTTTCTGTTCTGGGCCAAGGAATGTGGAGTGGCCCACTTGGTGAGTTCAGTCAGCCCCTGGATTGTAAGGTGCACCTCTTGGAGCTTTATAATTGTATTCGTTCACAAGGTATGGGTATCGCTGACATTTATTGCCAGTTTGTGGTTCATCTTGAGAAGGCAATAAGCTGCCTTCTGGAATTGCTGCAGCCCATGTCATGTAGGTGCATCCAACAGTGCTGCTGGGAAGGGAGTTGTCGCATTTTGGCCCAGTGATAGCAAAGGAGGAGCATTATACTTACAAGTTGTATAATTCTGAGGGCAGTTTATAAGTGGTTCTCATGTGCCTACTGTTCTTGTCCTGGGAGGTCCTATCTAAGGAGCCATGGTGTAAATGCATCTTGTCTATGGTGCATACTGAAAGCACAGTGTACCAGTCATGGAGGGAGTCAATGGAATGTCTGTCAAATGAGATGCTTTGGCTCTGGTTACGGGTATGAACATCTTGAGTGCTGTTGGTGTTGCACTCAGTCGGGCTTTGTGGAAAGTATTCCATCACACTTCTGGCTTGTGCCATGTAAATGGTGGGTAAGGTTTGGGGAGTCAAGAGACGATTCACTCACAGGAGAATGTCTAGCCTCTGACTTGTTCTCGTGGCCACTGTGTATACATCTGCTCCAGTTAAGTTATGGTCAGTGATAGCTCCCAAACATTTGTTGATGTGGGATTCAGCGATGGTAATGGTGTTAAGTATCAGTGAGGAGGCGCTGAAAGCTCTCAGTGGAGAAGGTCAATAACAAGGCATTTATGTGGTGTGAATGTTACTTCCTGTATATCAGGTCAAACCTGAATACTCAAGGTCCCACTACATGCAGCCCAGAATGTATCATTATTTGAGGAGTTGCAACTGGAATTGCAACTGAAATCATCAGAGAGCAGCACCCACATATGACCTTATGATGGAACGAAGGTGATTGAGGAAGCAGCTAAAGTTGGTTGGCTAAGACACTCCCCTGAGTAACAACCATGTCCCTTTGTGCTAGGCATGACCTCCAGCAGTAGAAAATTTTCTTCTAAAAATTCCCATTGACTTCAATTTTTGCTGGTGCTCCTTGATGTCACACTCAGTCAAATGCTGCACCGAAGTCACCTTACCTTTGTAACTCAGCTCTTCTGCCTGTCTTTGGACCAAAGCTACAAATTCATAAGATGTGGGTCTTGCTGGTCAAGCCAGCATTCATTATCCATCCCTAATAGCTAAAGGTCAACTACATTGCTGTGGGTCCGGAGTCACATGTAGGCCAGACCGGGTAAGGATGGAAGATTTCCTTGCCCAAAGGACATTAATGACCCAGCTGAGTTTTTCTGACAATCAGCAATGGTTTCATGGTTGTCATGAGACTCCTAATTCCAGCTTTTTCAAATTGAATTTGAATTCCACCATTTGCCTTGGTGGGTTTAGAGCCCGGGTCCCCAGAATACTACCTGTGTCCCTGGATTAATAGTCTGGCAATAAGGCCACTAGGCCATCGCCTACCCTGTCAACGCCCTGATGTTTCAAAAATCTATCTACCTTTTCTTTAAATACTTTCAGTGATCTAGCCTCCATAAGACAACAGGACAGAAATAGGCCATTCAACCCTCTGGGTCTGTTCTGCCATTCAATGAGATTATGGCAGATCTGATAATCCTTGACTCCACTTTCCTGCGTTTTCCCCATTATCGTTGATTTCCTTTAATGATTAACAATCTGTCTATTTCAGCCTTAAATATATTTAGCAAACCCATCTTGACAGTCCTCTACAGTAAAGAATTCCACAGAGTCACTATCCACTGAGAGAAGAAATTTATCCTTATCTCTTACTTAAATGAGCAACTCCTTATTCTGAGATGATGCTGTCTGGTCTTGGACTCTCCCACAAGGAGAAACGGGCCCTCTGCATCTACCTTACAAGTCCCCAAAGAATCTCCTATGTTTCAATACGCCACCTCTCATTCTTCTAAACTCCAATGAGTATGGGCCCAATCTGCTCTACCTCTCCTCATCCCTAGTGAACCTTCTCTGGTCTGCCTCTAATGGAGGTATATCCTTTCTTAGATAAGGGTCCCAAAACTGTTCAGTATTTCAGCTGTGATCTGACCAGTGCCTTGTATAGATTTAGCAAGACTTCCCTGTTTTTAAATTCAATCCCCTTTGAAATAAACTTTCCATTTGCTTTCCCTGTTACATGCTGAACTTGTATGCCAGCATTTTGTGATTTAAATCCATCTTTTCAGTAGCTTCCTGCAGTCTTTCTCCATTTAAACAATTTAACCCTTCTATTGCTCCTGCTTCTCCCTTCCGTGATGTATCACAGTGTCCACAGCTCTAGCTGTTGATTTGATCAATGTGGGTTACACTGACGTCCACCAGTTCCCACGTACTACAACTGCAACATGTTGTCTGCCCAGCCATCTCTGTTCTATTCAGTTATTTAATTCAGATGTTAAATTTGTAACAGTGAATACCTCAACTATCCATTCCAGCTCTTGTTTTCATGTGATGATGCACTTCAGCTCTGACTGGCAGCAACATGTTGAAGGGGCTCTCTGCCTCTGGTCTTGTCTCCTCCTCAATGGGTCAGCTCTTCTCTTTCTGAAGCTGTTTACTCGCTCTCACGTTGTTCCAGAAGCTGCTAACTCTGCTTTCTCTTCTATTGGTCATCCAATCAGCACTTCCAACACATTAGCACTCAGACACTGGGTTCCCGTGTCACTGAGGCTGGGATTATTTGTGGAAACTCCCTCCTCTGGTTAATTGTTTAATTGTCAGCCACCATTCGTAACTGGCTGAGGCAGAACAGCTGGACTCTGGTCTGATTGTTGGTTGTGGGAGTGCTTTGTCTAATATCAAGCTGCCTCTGCTATTCAACATGTCCTTATTCCAGTTTTTGTAACCTCACTGGGTTGGCATTCCCTTTTCAAGTATGCTTGGTGTTACTCCTAACATGCTTTGAGTATAGGAGTAGGGAAGTTATCTTGAGGTTGTACAGGATCTTAGTGAGGCCTTTTTCTGGAGTACTGTGTCCAGTTCTAGTCACCCTGTTATAGGAAGGATATTATTAAGCTGGACAGGGTTCAAAAAAGATTTACTAGGATGTTGAGATAGTAGGGACTGCCGATGCTGGAGAATCTGAGATAACAAGGTGTAGAGCTGGATGAACGCAGCAGGCCTGGCAGCATCAGAGGAGCAGGAAAGCTGACGTTTCGGGTCTGGACCCTTCTTCCCATTTTTTTCTGAAGAAGAGTCCAGACCCAAAACGTCAACTTTCCTGCTCCTCTGATGCTGCTTGGCCTGCTGTGTTCATCCAGCTCTACGCCCGTTATCTCTTTTACCAGGATATTGCCAGGATTGGAGGGTTTGTGTTATAAGGATAGGCTGGGACTTATTTCACTGGGACATGAGGTTGAGGTGTGACCTTATAGAGGTTCATAAAATTGTGAGGGGTATAGATAAGGTAAATGGCAGTTGTCTTTTCCCTAGGGGCGGGGAGTTTCGAGACTAGAGTGCATATTTTTTAAAGTGAGAGAAGAAAGATTTTAAGAAGTCATGAGGGACAATTTTTTTCTACACAGGGTGGTTTGTATGTGGAATGAACTTCCAGAGAAAGTAATGGTTGTGGATACAGTTACAACGTTTAAAAGGAATTTAGATAAGTACATAAACTAGAAATATTTGGAGGGACATGGGCCAAGCACAGGCAAATGGGACTAGTTTAGTTGGGGATTATAGTCAGCGTGGACTGGTTGGACCGAAGGGTCTGTTTCCATGCTGCATGACTGTGACACTCAACTGCCTTACACTCATTGAACCAGTTTGTTCCTTAGCTTGATGGTAATAGGGTGAGAGAAATGCAGGGCCATGAAGTTACAGATTGTGGATCAGTACAGTTCTGTTCCTGATGGCCCACATGGATGCCCAGTTTTCAGTTGCTGGATTTGTTCTGGATCCTTTCTGATCAACAGGATAATGAAGCCAGAAAGGGTATTGTTAGTGTGAATACAGCATCTCATCTCCATGATTTGAACTCACCTCATTCAAAATACAATTGATCTTCACATCCCCTGATGTAGTTCTCCGGTAAGTCAGGAGTCCTGCTCTCCATCAGGCTGGGGCCCAGTCTTCGTTGTCTCTGGCTGGACTGTTTCTCCCAGCGCAAAACTACTCATATAGATTGACAAGAAACCAGTGATTAACAGCTTGTGGTGAGAGATGTGTTCCTGTTGTGGAAGCCATTGCTTCCCTCCATTTCTTCACAATGTGTGTGTTGTGTAAAAACCTTTTGCAGAACAATTAAGTGTGACTGTGAATTCAAGGATTATGTTGATGAATGCTCTGTGTTGTGTGTCATCGCAGGCTCCGACGACAGACTCTGACACTCCGAGCCAGTATCACCTGTACCTCCTGCACCCGTTGTATCCTAGTGTCCTGCTGGAACTGGCCAACAGCACAGCAGTTGTGACTGCATCAGCAAGTGAGTACAGTCACAATGCCAAGGCTTCAAAGAGCAACAGAGAGAAGGGGCAGCCAGGCTGGGGACAAGTGGGCAGGTGGGGCAAGCAGTTTGGATTGGGGCTCAGCATTGTTACTTCTGCCAGTGTACCCCATCATTCCATCTCAGATACACCCAGTTAGTCTCCAGTCCCAATGTCAGCATCTACTGTGTCAAAGACCATTGTAACTTGGCACTGTCAGTTTACCTGATGTCCATCCTCCTAGCTTCAGAATGCCAACACAATCTTGTATTTTTAAAGAAAACAACTAATGACTTTTACAGTCTTTAGTTCATATTGTTTAAATCACCCTGCATTTCTTACCCTTCTTACTTTAGACTGGATAGACAAATGATCAGTGTGGCAGTACACCGTACTGAGCTCCTGTTTGCAGTGGGTTAGCCAGCGCTAGTCCAGGTCAAGGTAGCTCAGTAAGCTTGATCAGGTTGTCTGTCAGCCAGGATTCCCACAGCTGGTCCCAATCCAGAGTTTACCTTTCATCTCTGTAGCCAGCGACTGAGGTAAACTTTGGGCTCAGTGCCATGTTCTCAATGGCTGACGTTCCACAGTTCCAAGCTGCCCACTCGAGCAGTGGTCAGGGATAGTGGAGGATTAATCGAGAAATATCCCAGTGTGAGCCGTCATCTTAGAGAGAATGAATAACTTGTCTCCTGACTCCCAAAAGCCTGTCCACTACCTGCAAGGTTCAAGTCAGGAGTGTAATGGAATACTCCTCACTTGCCTGGATGGGTGCAGCTCCAAATACATTTGAGAAACTTGACACCATCCAGGACAAAGCAGCCCCCACTTGGAATGCAGTGGTTTAAGGAGCCACTGTCCCCAGGGATGAGCAATAAATGCTGGCCTGGCCAGCGGTACTCACATCCCTAGAGTGAATGACAAAATAAAAACACAAGCATTATGAATAATCAAGGCAATTATAATTAAACAAAAATAATTCCTGAAGATTTCAAAACCCAGATCAAGACCTCTAGCCTTGCTGTTCCAGCACATCCCAGTGCAGTCTGCTCAATGCCCTGGTTTAAATTAGATCTGGGGAGAAGAGTATTGCAGATAAAACGACCACATATTCATAGCCGTGTTGAAAAAAGTTCCATTTCACAGAGTTTTTATCAAGCAAATTGTAACTCTAGACCACATAATGGGGTCTTGTGGTAGAGTGGGTGATGTCCCTACAACTGGCCCAGCAACCCTATGTTCACCTCCTGCCACAGAAGGTGGTGTAACACAGTCAAACAAGCCTTAAAAGAGAACAGGAAGAGTGAGTGTGTTACCTGAGGAACTAGATGCCTGCAGTAGCTACAGCCCAGCAGCTTCCCCTTGTTCAGAGACTCTGCTGTCGCTGTGAGCCAGTGTCATCCTCATTCACAGAGACTACCACCACCACCACCATATAAAGAAGTATTAGCATGGATGAGTAAACAGCATGCAGGGATGTTTTAAACAGCAAATTCGAGGGAGACGCAGAGAAGTTTATGATCGCGTTCCAAGGTCATGACCCTCACTGAATGTAGGACCACTACTGACTACGTGGCGTAGATCAATGATCATTGGGTAAACAGTGTTTGATGCAGGTTCAGATATGCGTTGTACTATAATTAGAGTTGTACAGCATGGGAACAGACCCTTTGGTCCAACTCGTCCACGTCGACCAGATACCCTAAGTTAATATTTTGACAAAGATCTGCAGCTCGGGTTGTGGGTGAGGTTGTTGATTTGCTTACCAAGCTGGCTTGTTCTCGTTCAGATATTTCATCACCATGCTAGGTGACATCATCAGCGGATCCTCTGATGAAGCAATGTTATTCTACTCCACTTGGAAATTATACTGCCCGGTCTGTAATGGTGAGTAGTGTCATTTCCGGTTTTGATCTGTATGGGTTTGTACATGGGGTCCAATTCTATGTTTGTTGATTGCATTACGGGTGGAGAACCATGCCTCTAGGAATTCCTGTGTGTGTCTATGTTTGACTTGAGCTACTATGGTTACCTTGTCCCAGTTAAACTGATGGCCTTCATTGTCCGAGTGTACCGATATTAGGGAGAGTTCATCGTGCCATTTTGCCGTTTAACTGGGACATAGTAACCATAGTAGCCCAAGCCAAACATAGACACACACAGGAATTCCTAGAGGCATGGTTCTCCACCCGTAATGCAATCAACAAACATATGGAATTGGACCCCATATACAAACACGTGCAGATCAAAACCGAAAATGTCACTACTCACCATAACAGACCGGACAGTATAATTTCCAAGCGGAGTAGAATAACATTGCTTCATCGGAGGTTCCACTGATAATGGCACCTTGCACGGTGACGAAATGTCTGAACGAGAGCAAGTCAACAACCTCACTCTGAATTAATCTAGTCCCGTTTGCCAGCATTTGGCCCTTATCCCTCTAAACCCCATTCATGTACCCATCCAGATGCCTTTTAAATGTTGTAATTGTCCCAGCCTCCATCACCCTCTGCGTGAAAAAGTTGCCCTTTATGTCCCTTTTAAATCTTACCCTCTCACCTTAAACCTATGCCCTCCAGTTTTGGACTCCCCTACTCTGGGGAAAAGGTGTTGAAGGAAAACCAGTAGTGCCCAGATATCAGTTATCGCAGTCTGCTGCCCTCTGCTGAGCCAAGCATGTTCTTCTGGACATTCCCAGGGGGACCCTTAACACAGCAGGCATTGTGCCCCACACAGAATGTAAGCATTTCGCTCTCCTCTTATCCCTACAGCTGTTTATGCAATAGGTAACTATTCAGCCAACTCCTTTCTCTGGGAGAGAGGGAACTTCTGTGACCTCATTACAGTGGAAACTTATACTTGTGTCCTCAAGCCCTCAGAACAATGATTTTAAAAAGGTTAATTATTGAAAGAAGCTCTTTTATTGGATGATCTGTATGTTGTGGCCAGGTCTATGCAATGTGACACAGAGCGGCTAATCTCACGTAGACTCCTGGCTCTGCCAAGGGACAGCCGAGCCCTTTGCATTAGATCCTGATGACCAGTTCAGTACAAACGTTGGGTGCAAGCCAGCTCAATAGTATTGGACCCCATGAGGGGTCTCACACCTCCGTGACTTTTGCTGTTGTGACCATACTTTCAAGGTCAAATGCCAGCCAACCTATCCCAGTATTCCCCCTGCAAGTCCCTGACATAGACCTGCCTCCCTCCTTTGTCCTGAGCACAGATTTCCACCCCAGGAGTCAGTGTAGTTCAGTGTCTCAAATTGAAATCTTCACCCTTTTCAAATCACTCCAGGCCTCTCCCCTTCCTATCTCTGTAACCTTCTCAGTCACACAATCTTCTGAGGTCTCTGGGCTTCTACCATTCTGGCCTTTTGTACATCCCTCATTCCCATCCGCCATGCTATTGACTAAATAGGTCCGAAGCTTTGGAATCCTGACTCAAAGCCTGTCCTCCATCTACAAGGCCCAAGTCAGGAGTGTGATGGAATACTCCCACTTGCCTGGATGAGTGCAGTCCCAACAATACTCAAGGAGCTTGACACCATCCGGGACAAAGCAGCCCACTTGATTGGCACCACATCCACAAGCATTCTCTCCCTCCACCACCAATGCTCAGTAGCGGCAGTGTGTACTATCTACAAGATGCATTGCAGAAGTTCACCAAAGATCCTCAGACAGCACCTTCCAAACCCACGACCACTTCCATCTAGAAGGACAAGGGCATCAGACATATGGGAACACCACCACCTCCAAGTTCCCCTCCAAGTCACCCACCATCCTGACTTGGAAATATATCGCCGTTCCTTCACTGTCGCTGGGTCAAAATCCTGAAATTCCCTCCCAAATAGCTTTGTGGGTCAACCCACAGCAGGAGGACTGCAGCAGTTCAAGAAGGCAGCTCACCACCATCTTCTCAAGGGCAACTAGGGATGGGCGAGAAATGCTGGCCAGCCAGCGACGTCTATATCCCACGAATAAATGAATAGAGAAAAAAAAATTCCTTCCCTAGCTCTCTCATTCTCTGCCTGTTCTCTTTTAAATCACCTTTTCACCCTCGCCTGCTTAAAACCCACTTACTTGACCAAGCTTTTATTTTGGAGAGGGGCTGTGGTCAGAGGGTGGTTACTGAGGGCAGTTGTAACGTTGAGATTGTTGGCTTGATTGCCGAGCTGGCATGTTCTCGTTCAGACGTTTCGTCACCATGCTATGTAACATCATCAGGGTGGCCTCCAATGAAAGCTTCTGTATGATAACCAGCCAACTCAGCAAGCAAGCCAACAACCTCATCTACAACCACAGCTACAAATCTTCGCATGATTATGACATTCCTACCACCGTCTAGTCCAGGAAATCACGACATCACCCCAGGGAACTGAGGCAATGGAGTCTCAGTTTGGGGCTGGACAGAAATGGGATTTGTTTCCAGGCAAATTTAGGGAGTGTCAAAAGTTAGAAGCGGCTAAACTGAACAGAGCTGGGTTTAACACTGCCAACCAAAACATCCCGTTCAGAATTCCTTTAATTTGTTTGAATTTCCCAGCTGTTTTTATATCATATCAATTTATATCATGTAGAACTTCCTAGGATTGTTTTCTTCCATTGTATAGCTGGATTACTGGAGCAACAGAAAGACGCTTTTTACGTTACCGTGACAATGGACACCACACGCTGGTCTCGCGAAAGTGGCACCGGGCACCTGATGGTGACTGGCCTGGGCCTGAACTGGGCAATTTCCCACAGCAGGACGGTGGCCCTGGAGGACGGAGCCGTTGGCGCCATCCGGAAATTTGTCTCCAAGATCCAGTTTTCTGCTGCCCAGCACTGACGGGTAAATAGACAAGGAAACAGAACAGCCGTCACCCAACCCCCTGATAGGCTTTTTGCCTGCAATGAGTATAGTCGTCTGAACCAGCGGCTTGCAATGTCCCACACTTGGAAACGAGCTCAGACTCTGGAATGACATTGCAGTGTAGTCCTGAGGTTGTAGACTTGCTTGCCGAGCTGGCTTGTTCTTGTTCAGACGTTTTGTCACCATGCTAGGTGACATCATCAGTGGAGCCTCCGATGAAGCAATGTTATTCTACTCCGCTTGGAAATTATACTGCCTGGTCCGTTCTGGTGAGTAGTGTCATTTCCGGTTATCACAGACCAAGACCGGAAATGACAGTACTCACCATAACAGATCAGACTGTATAAATTCAAAGCAGAGTAGAATAACATCACTTCATCGGACGCTTCGCTGATGATGTTACCTAACATGGTGACGAAACGACTGAACGAGAACAAGCCAGCTCGGCGAGCAAGTCAACAACCTCACTCACAACCCGAGCTACAGATCTTTACCAAACCATGGAGCACTGCACTGACAGATGCTTGCTATCGGTCTGATGATACAAGCAACCAGTGTGTCTGCTCACTATTAAAACAAACTGACACATTGCTGCTTGTGGGGCCCACCAATCTCTTACAGTAAAATAATTACTGCCCTGTGAGAAGTGCTTGGTCACAAACTCAAGTTGTGAAAGGCATTATACAAATACCAGCCTTATCCAGCCTAAACCTGGAGGTAAACTACAGCTTTAGATATTGAACTTTTAACCTGAAATCCATCACCCTTGGGAAAATGTAGAGTTGATTGTCTCTGGCCAGCTAGTACCCACCTGCTGAACCTGAAGGAGCCATACTTTACAACTTAAAGCACAGAGGGAGGTGATTCAGCCTCTCCTAGAGTCACAGAGTCATACAACATGGAAACAAATCCTTTGCTCCCACCAGTCCACGCTGACCATAGTCTCAAACTAAATTAATCCCACCTGCTTATGCTTGGCCCATGTCCCTCCAAACCTTTTTTATTCGTGTACTTATAAATCCCCATGCTGGCTATTTGAAAGATAGTCATGATTGGCCGCTTTTGTCTGTAACACTAAATTGGGGAGGTGACAGCCTAGCAGATTTATTGCTAGACTGTTAATGCCCAGTTTTGAATCCTGCCACAGCAGATAGTGGAATTTGAATTCAGTTTAAAAAAGAGTCTATTGGTGGCCATGAATCCATTGTTGATTGTTAGAAAAACCCATCTGGTTCACTAATGTCCTTTAGGGACGGAAACCGTCATCCTTACCCAGTCTGACCTATAAGTGACTCCAGACCCACAGCAATGGGGTTGACTCATAAACTCGTAAATTAGGAACCAGCAATAAATGCTGGCCTAGCCATCGATGCTTACATCCCATTGGTGAATAAAAATAAAAGTTATAGGGTGTGTTGTTACCCAGCATCTCAACAGCAAGAGCAAACTGTGCAATGGTCATTGGCTGAAAGGTACTGCCATTCCTCGACAAATGTCGAGGTAATGTGTAACACTGCAGAGCAAGAGCCAGGCCCTCTCTAGCCCCTGATGCCCCTGCACACATCTTCACAGGAATGTGTTGATTTGAACAAAAACAAATTTGCTGGAAAAGCTCAGCAGGTCTGGCAGCACCTGTGAAGGAAAAATCAGCTAATGTTTCAGGTCTGGTGACCCTTCCTCAGATTTGGTTCCCTTATTCCCCTATCCCCAGAAGAAAGTTCCCCATCTCAGTTGCCGCACAGCTCTGCGACTGAACTCTGCTGGTCTGTGCACTCTGATGTTAGCAAAATGTTTGGCCGCACGATCCCAAACTGTGTGTTTCAACTTAATCCTTTGTCTTTTATTAATGACACGGTATTACTAGAGCAGTGAACTGACCCACCGTCCAGTTGAAAACACAGAAACCAGGAGCTGGAGTTAGCTATTTTTGGCCATCGAGTCTGCAGTTCTGCTCAGATCATATCTGACCTCCAGTTTCAACTCCATCTTCCCACACAATTCCCAATTTCTTGAGTTCACTGACTGCCCAAATATCCAGCAACCTGCATCTCGCGTGTACCCTATGTGGGAGCTCTCTGGAGTAGAGAATTCCCAATAACAGAACTTCGGACAGTGAGGAGAAATTTGTATTTAAAACCGTTTAACGTACCATCCATTCTGCTGTTCCTTTCCTTTTGTTACCTTTGTGATTTTCTCTGTGGTAAAGAGGCTCAGTCACTGACTGATGGACTGTTTTGTTATCTCTATGCAGTCACTACAGAGACCAACCTGAAGCAACACGTGGAACAGAAGCTCATTTGCCACTTCCTGCAGGAATTTTGCATCCCAATCACTGGTTCCCTCATGGCGGTGTCCCTGCTACCTCCCGATAATTCCGCTCCCTCCCCTGCTACTCTCTATCTCCCTCCCAGCCCCTCACTATCCTCACAGGAGCTCCTCACTTGATCTGGGCGATAACTTGAAAATGATTTCTGAGGCAACAATCCTAGCCAGGGCTTTCCCACTAGTTACTGGCTCAATCAGAACAGTATTTCAAAAGAATCCAACTCCTTCTGTTTGCTACAACCATCCGGCAGTTTAACCCCAATGTGTAGTTGACTGCGTTCAGCCATCTCCACGTGAGGAACCACGTCTGCCTGTTGTCCACCAGGACCCAGCTTTAAATGAGGCTCTCCTTGATACAGGAATGGGGAAGTCGTTCCCACAGGATCCTCTTTAAGGCACACACTTTTACACGCGTTGCCCATTGTAACTGCACTTTAGATTAGAGCAATCTTGTGTCTTATTGTAGCTACAATCTAAAATTATTTATCATTAGAGTTTATTATAGTCTTTGCTGAACCAATCAAAAGCTTAAATGTGAACTTAAACTGAAGAAAATATAGAAAAGATTTGTAGATGATATATATGTATATAGGAGCTGGAGTAGGCCTAGATCGATAGATTGTAAATAGATATATCCTAAAATGTTTCTATGTGATTTAAACAAATTTAATATATAAGATACTGGAGTTTCATGGTGTTTAATTTGGCAACAACTTGGTGCCCTTCTTGAGAGACAAGGAGAATGTGACCTTTGACTTGTTCACTGGAACCCTGAGGGCACCAGGACATCTTCATCTACAGATTATGATGCAGTTTTTGTATCTCCAAATATCAAAAGATCTTTAATCCTTCCCTGTGGTTATTTCAGACAATGGGTCAGTTACAGGAGGGATCTCTCACTGTCAACATCGTATCTGACACATAGAAACAGGCCAAAATGTAGAATCAGCCTCCCCCTCTCTCTGTCTCTCACACACACGCACACTCTCTCTCAAACTGTCTCGGGCTCGCACTCTGTGTCTCTCAGGCACGCACGCACGCACGCACTCTCCCCCTCCTTCACACTCTCTCTCTTCCCCCCCCCACCGCGCTCGCTTGCTCCCTCCCTCGCTCCTCCTCACTCCCCCTCGCTCGCACCCTCACCCTCACCCTCCCTTGCCCTCCCTCACTTGCTATCAAGCTCTCTCTCTCGCTCGCCCTCCCTCCCTCGCTCGCTCACACAAAACAAGGCTGAGCTCTGCAGTAACATGGGACTGGTCTGGTGACACTCCCTCCCACTGAAAGGCAGTTAAGACACTCTTACAACAATGTGTTGAAGGGCACGTGTTTGTTTGCACCCTGACCCTGTTCTGTACGTAATCAGTCAGTCCCTGTCTTCCTTCATATACATTTCCCATGCCCATTTCTGTATTTTCTGGAAGCATTGTAACCCACGCTAACATTATTTTGTTCCAGTCTGTGGCTACTCCTATCCAAATCATGAGAAATAGGATTGCCAGTAAACCATTTGGCCTATTGAACAGTGTAGCAGATTCAATGTGGCTGACCTTGGGCTTCAACTTCAGTTTCCCTCCTGCTCCCCTAATCCCTCAATTTCCAAATTGAGACCAAAGTTCTTCGATCCCAAATTTAATGTATTCAACGATGAAGCATGAACAATTGTCTAGAGTCGAAAATCGCAAAGGTTTGCAGTCTTTGAATGGTCATCACTTCTCCTTTGTGTCCTAAATGATCTGACTGTTGTAGTAAGACTGTGCTGCTCAAGTCCCAATCCCCTGACAAGGGAGAACAGTCCATGCGCCTACTGTCTCTCAATCCTGTCCAGGATCTGCTATGGTTCAATGAGAATTGCTCTCATTCTCCTGAACTCCAGACAACATGGACCCAGCCTCCCATCACAGGGACAGTCGCTCCATCCCAAGAATTAGTGAACCAACACTATACCACATCCAATGCAGTGTATCCTTTTGTAAATGTGGAGACTTAAACTGCAAATAGTATTCTCTGAGAATAAAAGCCAAGATGCCGTTTGCCTCCCTAATTTCTTGCTGACTGCCTGTGTTCCTTGTCCAATCACACCCAAGTCCCTTTGAACACCAGCATTTTACAGGCAGACCCCCGAATTACAAATGGGTTCTCTCCTGGAGTTGGTTTGCAAGTTGATTTGGTTGCTGGTCTCCCAGCTTGGCGTGGTGGTCTCTTGGCCTGGCGTGGCGGTCTCTCGGCCTGATGTGGCCTCAGCACGGTCTCTCGGCCTGATGTGGCCTCAGCACGGCCTCCCGGCCTCGAGCTGAAGCCCAGTACAGACTTATTCAAGGCCCTATGCAGACTGGAGTCAGGGTGCCAGTGTGCACCGGGTTGGAAAGACTGTTGTTCTGAGCTTTTTATTTGTCTATTTTCTAATTTATTACAAAATCTATAATGATGGATTTTTTTTCCCTTTATTTTTCTAATTTTTTTCCTAAGAACGTGTACTGAAGAATCTGTACCTAGGTACCTCAATAGCTAAGATGGTGCTGTAAGTGGCGACATGTAAACTTTTCACTGTACTTCTGAGTACCTGTGACAATAAAGCTAATTTAATTCATTTCAAGTTGGAACACAACATAAAGCAGCCATTTGTAAGTACAGGAAATGTCAGGTCTTTAAATTTGCACTCCTGTACGGGACCACGTTTGTAGGTACAACTGTTCATAGATCAGGGACGCCCTGTAATCTGACATTGCTGTTTTCTTAAATTCTCCAGTCTGCACAGCAAGAGACAACAATATGACAAAGTCAAAATACTGAGGATGCTGGAGAAACTCAGCAGGTCTGGCAGCATCCGTGGAGTGAGAAAGAATGGATGTTTTGAGTCTGATATGCTTTTTTCGGAACTCTATTTTACCAGCTGAGAACGATGGAGAGGGTTCTGTCCACATGATCAGTGGTATGTGGGGGAAATGCACACTGCATGTGAGCTCTAAGTGTCTGCACTTCTGATCATCTATCCGTAAAAATGGTCAGTAAATTCAGAATTCCATCTGTCATCTCCATATATCCCTGTGTTATGCTTATATAAAGGTACCCGGGTACAGAAGTAAAACGCTATTGCACTGCTATATTGTGGCCTGGTTTTTTTTATTAATAATTAAAAATGTTGCTGTGGTTAACAGGGTTATGTCTATTACATTGTAGTGGTATTCTTTTCGTTACTAGCACCTCATCAGTAATGCTATGTGTTTGTAAAACTTTGGTCAGGCTGCACTTCAAAGATGGCATTTGATTCTGGTCGCCACATAACTGGAAGGATGTGGAGGTTTTGGAGAGGGTGCAGAAGAGGTTTACCAGGATGCTGCCTGAATTAGAGAGTATGAGCTATAAGAGAGGCTAGAAAAACTCAGGTTGTTTCTCTGGATCGACGGAGGCTGAGGGGAGATCTGATAGAAGTTTATAACACTGACAGGCATAGATAAGGTAGCAGATCTTTTCCCCCAGAATTGAAATGTCTAATACTAGGGGGCATGCATTTAAGGAAAGGGGGAAAAGTTCAAAGGAGATGCAAGGGGCAAATTTTCTTTTTACACAAGAGTGTGGTAGGAGTCTGGAACCCACTGCTAGGAGTAGTGGTGGAGGCAGATATGATCGGAACGTTTAAGGGGCTTTTAGATAAGCACATAAATAAGCAATGGGCGAGCAGAAGGGATTAGTTTAATTTGGATCAGAGATAGCAGGAACTGCAGATACTGGAGAATCTGAGATAACAAGGTGTGTAGAGCTGAATGAACACAGCAGGCCAAGCAGCATCATAGGAGCAGGAAGGCTGACATTTCAGGCCGAGACCCTTCATCAGAAGTGGGGGAGGGGAAGGGGTATCTGAAATAAATAGGGAGAGAAGGGGAGGTGCATAGAAGATGGATAGAGGAGAAGATAGGTGGAGAGGAGACAGACACGTCAAAGAGGCGGGGATGGAGCCAGTAAAGGTGAGTGTAGGTGGGGAGGTAGGGAGGAGATAGGTCAGTCCAGGGAGGATGGACAGGTCAAGGGGGCGGGATGAGGTTAGTAGGTAGGAAATGGGGGTGTGGCTTGAGGTGGGAGGAGGGGATAGGTGGAAGGAAGAACAGGTTAGGGAGGCGGGGACAAGCTGTGCTGGTTTTGGGATGCAGTAGGGGGAGGGGAGATGTTGAAGCTTGTGAAATCCACATTGATACCATTGGGCTGCAAGGTTCCCAAGCGGAATATGAGTTGCTGTTCCTGCAATCTTCAGGTGGCATCGTTGTGGCACTGCAGGAGGCCCAGGATGAAATCCCCATACAGATGGCCTAAAGGCCCTCCGCTTCTTCCTGTCCCGCAGGCCCAACCAGTCCCCCTCCACTGACACCCTCATCCACTTAGCCAAACTCGTCCTCACCCTCAACAACTTCTCTTTCAATTCCTCCCACTTCCTACAAAGAGGGTGGCCATGGGTACCTGCATGGGCCCAAGCTACGCCTGCCTCTTTGTAGGTTACGTGGAACAATCCCTCTTCCATAGCTATACTGGCCCTAACCCCCACCTCTTCCTCCGTTACATTGATGACTGTATCGGCGCCACCTCATGCTCCCACGAGGAGCTCGAACAGTTCATCCACTTCACCAACACCTTCCACCCCAACCTTAAGTTCACCTGGACCATCTCTAATACCTCTCTCACCTTCCTGGACCTCTCTGTCTCCATCTCGGGCAACCACCTAGAAACCGATATCCATTTCAAGCCCATGGACTCCCACAGTTACCTAGAATACACCTCCACCCACCCACCTTCCTGCAAAAATGCCATCCCCTATTCCCAATTCCTTCGCCTCCACCGCATCTGCTCCCAGGATGAGGCATTCCACTCCCGTACATCTCAGATGTCCTCGTTTTTCAAAGACCGCAACTTCACCCCCTCAGTGGTCGAGAACGCCCTCGACCGTGTCTCCCGCATTTCCCGCAACTCATCCCTCACACCCCCTCCCCGCAATAACAACCAAAAAAGAATCACCCTCATCCTCACGTACCACCCCACCAACCTCCGGATCCAACGCACCATCCTCCGACATTTCTGCCATTTGCAATCTGACCCCACCACGAAAGACATTTTTCCCTCCCCACCCTTATCTGCTTTCCGGAGGGACCACTCTCTCCGTGACTCCCTTGTCTGCTCCACACTCCCCTCCAGCCCCACCTCACCGGGCACTTTTCCCTGCAACCGCAGGAAGTGCTACACCTGTCCCCACACCTCCTCCCTCACCCCCATCCCAGGCCCCAAGAAGACTTTCCACATCAAGCAGATGTTCACCTGCACATCTGCTAATGTGGTATACTGCATCCGCTGTACCCGTTGTGGCCTCCTCTACATCGGGGAAACCAAGCGGAGGCTTGGGGACCGCTTTGCAGAACACCTACGCTTGGTCCTGCACCTCCCAGTCGCGAACCATTTCAACTCCTCCTCCCATTCCTCAGACGACATATCCATCCTGGGCCTCCTGCAGTGCCACAACGATGCCACCTGAAGGTTGCAGGAACAGCAACTCATATTCCGCTTGGGAACCTTGCAGCCCAATGGTATCAATGTGGATTTCACAAGCTTCAAAATCTCCCCTCCCCCTACTGCATCCCAAAACCAGCCCAGCTTGTCCCCGCCTCCCTAACCTGTTCTTCCTCCCACCCATCCCCTCCTCCCACCTCAAGCCCCACCCCCATTTCCTACCTACTAACCTCATCCCGCCCCCTTGACCTGTCCGTCCTCCCTGGACTGACCTATCCCCTCCCTACCTCCCCACCTACACTCACCTTTACTGGCTCCATCCCCGCCTCTTTGACCTGTCTGTTTCCTCTCCACCTATCTTCTCCTCTATCCATCTTCTATCCGCCTCCCCCTCTCTCCCTATTTATTACAGAACCCCCTTCCCCTCCCCCCTTTCTGATGAAGGGTCTAGGCCCGAAACGTCAGCCTTCCTGTTCCTATGATGCTGCTTGGCCTGCTGTGTTCATCCAGCTCTACACCTTGTTATCTTGGAATCTCGGAATCTCAGGGTCTTTTTTACGGATAGAACATAGGTGTTCTGCAAACCGGTTGTCTGGTCTATGTTTCATCTCCCCAGTGTAGACAAACCACATTGTGAGAAGTGAGTACAGTAGACTAGATTGAGTGAAGTGCAGGTAAATCACTACTTCATGGGGAAGATGCGTGTGGGGCCTTGCATACTGAGGAGGGAGAAAGTAAACAGGCTGGTGTTACACCTTCTCTGATTTCATGGAAAGGTGAGGAGATTTGGGAGTGAATAAGCACAGGATCATGATGTCCCAGAGGGACCAGTCATTGTGGAAAGTTGACAAGGGAAGGGAGTATGTGTCTGGTCATGGCATCCCACTGGAGATGGTGGAAATGGCAGTTTATGATCGTTTGGGATGATAAGGGAGGTCCGGGTGACCCTGTGGCTATTGTGGGAGGGAAGAGAGGGGTGAGGACCAAAGTGTGGGAGCTGGGTTGGACCAGGCTGAGGGCCCAGTAACTACAGAGCCAGGGAATCCTAGGTTGAGGAAGAAGGTGAACATTTCTGAGGACCCCGCCCCTCCCCTGCAGAAGGTGGCATCATCAGAACAGATACAACGGAGATGGTGAAACTGGGAGAATGGGATGGAATCCTTACAGGAAACAGGGTGTGAGGATGTATAGTCAAAGTAACTTTGGGAGTTGGTGCGTTTTTGGTGGATATTGGGGGCCAGCCTATCCCCAGAAATGGAAACAGAATTTGAGGAAGGGAAGGGAGGAGTCAGAGATAGACAGGGTGAAGGTGAGGGAAGGATGAAAATTGGAAGAAAAAGTTTTCTGATTCCAAATGAGAAGAGGAAGCAGCAGCAACAATGTCATCGATGTACTGGAGAAAGAATTGTGCGGAGTAGGACTGGAACAAGGAAGGCTGAATGAACCCCATCCCGGTCTACGGCATAATCAGTTCGGAAGAAGGGTCACTGGACCCGAAGAGTTAACTATGCTTTCTATCCACAGATGCTGCCAGACTTGCTGTGTTTCTTCAGC